CATCGCCATGGCAACCGCCGCCGCCGCCATGGCAACCGCCGCCCCCCGCGCGCCCCCGTTCCGCGGCTCCTCGCGGCGCGAACGGCCTTCTGGGAGGCGGGAGGGGACGACGCGGCGGCTCCGATTGGCTGGAGGAAGCGGACGCGAGGGCCATAGAGCGCGGGCCGGGCGGCTAGAGCGGAGCGAGCGGCCGCGCGGGGCATGCTGGGCCGGCCGCATGCAGCGGGCGGCGCCGCTCGTCCAATTGGCCCACCGAGGTGGATTGGGGTGCTCCCGAGCATGTGCAGAGTGCGTTTCCCTCGCTTTTCTGCAGCTTCTTGTAAGCGCGGAGCGTATGAACAGCGCCTTTCCATCTCTGGGGGAAACTGGTTTCTTTTGCTTCAGTGGACCCGAATCGTCGTGCCTCTGAGCAGATGCAGAGCGCCTCTGCCTTCCTAAAGGAAATCCGCTTGTGTTGTATTTTAATAGCTCTAACGGGGCAGGCTCTGTCCTTGAGCGCAGTCAAGTGACCTTTCTTCGTGAAATAAGCCAGCTCATGTTGTTTTCAATGCACCTAAAGACACAGTGCCTCTGAGCATGTAAAAGTGTTTTTTTGTTTGTAGCGGACACCATCTCACTTCGTTCTCCACAGACCTGTGCCACTCTGCTCCTGTATTAGTAAACATTTCAGGAACTTCCTTGAGCCTCCAGCATCTGCCCCTCTAAACGAAGTCGCTCCTTATTTCTTGGATCTCTGCCCTGCCCTTCCCACGAGGCCCTGGAGGGGGCGCGCAATGCTTCCCTCCACCTTTTAGCTTCACAACCACCCTGCAAGGTAGGTTAGCCGAGGAGAAAATCCGACTAGCCCAGAGACATCCAGGGAGCATTACAGTCGACGTGGGATTTGAACAGGACACGCTGAGGAGTGTCCTCATAGCCCAGCATCAGCGTTCCACGACCTGGGGCCCTCCTGGTGTGTGGGCTCCAACTGGGGGTGCTGGGAGTGGTAGTCCCACACACCCAGAATGCCCCAAGGTGAGGAAGGCTGCCCTTCACAACGCCCCCCAGAGCCTGCTGCTCCCCGGGGACTAGTGGGCGAGCTGTCTTTGCTTGCCACAGGCAAATGGAGCTTTGGAGGACCACCCCGCTCCCCAGGCCGCTGGAAGGTGCTCCGAAAGCTGCGCCTTGGAGGATCCCGCCTCATTTTATTTTTATTTCATTTATTAAAACGTTTCTATGCCGCCCCATTCGCCAAAGCCTCGGGGCGGCTCACAACATAAGATAAAGTACAAAAATAACAATATAAAATAAAATATAAACAAAATAAAATATTTATATAAAATAAATAACAATATCATCCCTCCCCAGCCCTGCTAATGAAAGCGAGCCACACACAAAGGCATCCAGAAAACACATTTATTTTTCGCAGGACGAGAGGAAGCCCCGTGGGGCCCTCCGGAGACGCTGGGTGTTCTCCTCCTTTTGCAGAGCCAGACGCTGGGCCGGCGGGGCAGAGGAACCATTACCATTACTAAACTCAGTAATGGTAACGGTTTCGCCGACACGCCGCTGGGCTCGTCTTCCGATCGGCAGAGCTGTCCGCTGGGCGAATTCCGGTCCCCGTTGCTCCTCCTGGGCTGGCCAAGCCCCGTTCCTTTTGCTCTCGCTCTCACTAATAATACTCTCGTCTCTGTGCCACCTTTCGGGGCAAAAGCCTTCCCAAAAAGACTGAGCAAGCAGCCCAAAACTTTCCAGAGGCAGCGCCAACGTGGGCAGCGAGGCCTCGTGCGGGGTATTTTCGGCTGCCCGGTTCAAGCGCCAGGCCAGGGGAGGGGATGAGGTGGGGATAGACTGCCCTTCCCACAGCCTCCCGAGAAGATTCGGAAGGGGGTCGCCGCTCGGGGTGGAGCGGCTTGATCGCATGCAGAATCTGCGGTTTGCTCCACAACAGACCCACAGCTTGAAGGAAGGATCGGGTGGCGGGTCCTGGGGAAGACGCTGCGTGCCTGGAACGTGGAGGAGCAGCTTGGAAGAGGTGGTCTCGGGCTATATTTATAATTTTTTTTACATTTTTCAATTTATATCCTGCCTTTTTCCTACAAAGGGCTCAAGGCAGCTTACGTCTCCTCCTCCATCTTATCCCCACAACAACAACCCTGTGGGGCAGGTTGGGCTGAGAGTCTGTGACTGGCCCAGAGTCACCCGGTTGGCTCCATGGCTGAGCGGGGACTCGAACCCAGGTCGTCCCGAGTCCCAGTCCCACGCTCTTAACCACGACACTACACTGGCTAGGATGGGAAAGGGACCTCCCTCCCCCTCCATCCCTTTTGGAGGTTCGCTCCAGCGGGCTGACAGCCCGAGGGGAAGGCAGGGAGAGCGGAAGGCTCCCGCCACCGGTCGCAGCGCCTCGAGAGGGGCTCCGGACCACTCCTGCTCTCGCCTCCGACTTGAAAGAAGAGTCAGGAATGCTGTTTCCTTTCCTCCCTGAGCGACAACCACCGAGCACTGGGCGGGAGGGTCGCCTCGCCCAGTGGGGGCCACGAGCGATGCGTGGAGGCCTTCGAAACGGACCGCTTCGCCTGCTCGGCTGTGCCCGGCCTCGGGCCCCGTCCGATTGCGCCCAGCCGGGGAGATCCAGGGCCGGGTGCGACGCGTGAACGGGCTCAAGCTTAGTACATCATCTATACTGTAGTGTCTGATTCCAACTTACAGTATATGATGATATCCAACCTGGAGCCCTAGCCAGGAGCCGCTCTCTCTCCGTGGTGGCTTCAGAACGTGTGTCCTGCAGAAAGGGAGACACGGGGCTGTGGGGCACGGACGCAGGCGCTGGGGTGAGAACCGGGGGCCCTCCCCGCCCTGCAACCCCCCCCCCCCCGGCTCAGACCTGGCTTAAAATGGAGTGTGGCATCACCCGGGCTGCAGGCGAGGCTCAGCCGTAACATACTTCACGAGCCTAAAATGGAGCCGGATGGGTGATCCACACCCCTCAGCCCCGCACGAAGGATGGGGCGAAGGCTGCCATTTCACAAGGGGAAGCTTGGATCGGTCAGAGGAACACGCCCACCCCGTTAAAAGGACGAGCTCAGTCCGGGAATCGACAGCCAGTGTTGTGCCGCTGAAATCTGGGCTCTGGCGTAGCATCGTGCGAGGCCGTGGAGGCACAAGGCAGAAGAGGGAAGCCAAGGCGGAGACGACGCTCTTCGCGGAGAGCGGTCTCGCCCCTTCCCGCACACGTGCCACGTGTGACTACAGCCCAGTGTGCTGGGCCTTGTAGTCCCACATGCCCCCGGAGGGCAGCGCGGTGGGCCAGGGTGGGCTCGGGTCTCTTCAGCAGACTTGCATGGGGGCGATTGCCCAGATGGCCCGTGGGCCCCCACCCGGCTGGGGAGCACCAGTGCGGCTGCCCCGGGCGCAAAGGGGAGGCAGCCTCTGAGGACAGAGATAAGGAAGCCCCCTCCGCACCCCACCCCTCCCCTCCACTCCCCTCCGGCGAGTCCTGACCGAGCGGGTGGGCCCTGACCCGGTGCTTACCCAGTGGCCAGGTCCTCCGGATCGCGCACCTTCTGGAAGGGGTGTCCCGGGGGAGTGCCTTATATCCTTGGCCCCTCATTTGCATCTGCCTTCACCCTCCCCCACCAGAGTCGCGCTCCCCCCTCCCACTTCCAGGAAATTAAAGCCCGTTCGGGACATCAGGCTGGGACACCCCGCCCCGCCTCTCCTCTCCTGCAGAGAAGAGGGCGCCCAGTGCGTTCGGGACCTGCCCCGCCGGGGGTGTGCGCGGGCCGTTTGGTGGCTCCCCGGGTGGAGAAGGCAGCTTCTGCGTGCTCAGGGAACCTTCCTTCCTTTCTCGGCTGGGTTTCCCGGGTTCCGTGGCTGAGACGGCTCGAGGGTGCAAATTCCTTCCTTGAGCTGCAGCCCAGCTCTGTGCGAAGCCCAGGGTGTGGAAGATGGGCATCGCAAGGGGAGCGGTCCTCGCAGGGCTTCCCGCTGCCCGCTCTGAGTCACACCCAAGGGGATGCCCCTTCAGGGCGTGCGCGCGTATGCGCTTCCCACTTCACGGGTGGCCACGCGCTTGCAGCCGGACCTCTGCTCGAGGGCTAGTGTGCGAGTGGATTGTGAGCCCTTGGGTTCGGGTTCAGGTTCGGGTTCCCCCTTTGGCCCCAAAGCTCCCTGGGCTTTTGGGCTGGTCTGGGCCTCATGCAACTTGCAGGGCCGTCGCTGTGCGGATGAACTGGGGAGGGGGCGAAGCAGGTGAGCCGCCAGCCAGGTGGGACAGGAACGGGAGACACAAAGTAGAAAGAAACCCCAGCAGCTGGTGCCGGACAGTGGCTCGTCCCCATGCGTGTCCAGCAACCGTGGTTTCTAAATCCCGCATCTCTCAAAGCCGCGTGCCCAGCCAGCCAGCCAGCCCTCGGGCGCTCACTTCGTGGGGGGGGGGGGCTGGGGCGGCCCCACAACTCCAGGTGCGACTTGCATTCTGCAACCGGGCCCAGTTTGAGGTGCCGTGGGCCCTCTCCTCCTTACCCAACAACCCTGCGGGGAAGGTTGGCCTGAGCAGCTGTGGCTGCCCCAGTCACCCAGCTGGCTCCATGGCTGAGGGGGGACTTGAACCCGGACCGCCCGAGTCCCCATCCCGCGCTCCTCCCGACACCCTCGCTCTCCCTCGGCCTTCGGAGGCCAGAACTGTGGCTGTGCATGGAAGGGGCTTTTGCAGTGGCGGCACCTCGTGGAAGACCGTGCCTGGGGACGGCCGTCATCCCTGCTCTGCCAGCGCGTGCGGCGAGGGGACCCCAGGACTGGGCCTTATGGTTTCGGGGTGTCGTTTCCTGGCTGTTGGTTCTCTCTGTGTCCGTGTCCCTTTGCTGTTGCTTTTATGGACTCGCCTGTGTGCTTGAGCAGTTGGCTGCCGTGGTTCTGGCTTGGTCTTCCGCTCGGGCTGCCTCAATTTTGGGGGGGTGGGGACAGGGGAGCCCACGTGCCCCTGCCTAGTACAAGCACTCGCCCACCGCCACCGGAGACGAGGCCCCTGGGGGCTGGAAGAGCCGAAGCTCCAGCCACCCCCCCGCATGCGGACTCCGGCTGGGTGCGGACTTGCCGCTCTAAATGGCAGGCGAGGCGGCTGCCCTTCCTTTCTTGTGGCAAAGGGGATGCCATGCCTGTGGGCTGCAATGGGAGTGCCCCCTGGATGGGAGGCAGGGGGCAGGAAGGGGTCTCCGTCCGCCCGAGGGCCGGGATCGCCGCGGACAAGCCTTGCCGGTGCAGCTGAGCGGGGTGCGCTTCCCCGAGGCCTGCGGGAAGCTCCGTCGGGCTTTCCTGGAAGCGCCTGCCTGCCCCGGGCCGATAAGCCCCGCCTGGCCTCGTTATCGGGGGCCCGGCCCAGCCAGAGGCGGCCTGGCCCGGAGGAGGGGGCGCTCCCGCGCAGCAGCCTCCCGACTGGGCCGTGCCGATTGTGCCAGCCGGCCAGGGCAGGGCCACGTCGCCGGCCGCTGCGTCGGCGCCGCCGTGGGGTGCGTGAGTCGGCGCCCGGGGGCCACGGCCGGCCTTGGCGGCCTCGCGAGGGGTCCCGTAGGTGGGCGGGCAGCACGGGCCACCCCACGCGGTCCCCATTCCCCTTCCCCGTCTCACGGCTCGTTCTGAGCCACGCGCGTGCTTTGGCGCGGCCGATGCGCTCGCGGCCTCGACGGGAAGCGGAAAAGGGGGCGACTCGGGCACAAGCGCCGCTGCAAAGAGGGACACACACAGGCCAAGCGCGTTGGCTCTGCCCTCTTTCCGTAAGCCACCCCGAGAGGTTTGCAGTGGGCAGGTTAGGAAGGCCCTTTAAAACGAATTACAGGACGAACCAAAAGAAAGATGCCTGGGGCCCCCCTGCCCGGGCTGGCGCAGTGGCTGATGGGGGGCCTGCCTGCCTGGCTGGCCGTTTTCGTGGCTGCTCTTTGGGAGGTGAGCTTTGCCCCCCCCCCCCCGGGCCATCTGCCAGGCCGTGGGCCTTTGTCCCCAGGGCCGGCCGAGCCCAGCTGTGCTGCTTGCTCGGTTTCAGTCCCAGAACAGCCCACGGAGCCGAGTCCCAGGGCTGCCCTTCTCTCTCGTTTTTCTATACCATTCGACTGCGACCGTCTCGGGAGTCTCACAATAAAAAGGGACTGGAACAGCCTTTCTAGGACTCGCTGCCCTGGGTTCCTTTCCGGTGTGGAACGGCCAAGGAAACACACCTCCGGAGCGCGTTCCGTGTTCCCGGCCGGGCTGGAGGCCCGACGGCTCCGAGGCCACCTCTCCGGGAGGCTCAGGAAGGGCGTGGAGGAACCCACGCCAGGCGGGTCGGCCAAGGCAGGGGCACCCCATGGCTCGCGGGTGCCAGGGCGGAGGCGCGCGCCTTCCCTATCGGACAGAGAACCCGAATCCCTCGGGAAGAGGCAAAGGTCCCCCGCCTCCCGAGCCTCAGCCATAGGCAAGCGCTGCCAGAGGCGGCCTCCCCCACAGGGCGCTCCCCTCCCCGCGTCGGGAGGCCGGCTCCTGCTGCGTCGGCACAGATAAGGCCCCCGGGGGCCGCGCCCTGGCCTATCTGCAGGCCCCCGGTGGCATCTGGGGCGCCCCCGCCCAGGGGAATATGCCTGGCCGCCTCCAGATGGCTTGAACTACGACTCCCATCACCCCGGCCAGCGCCCCGCGTCTGGAAGGCTGCTGCAGAGCCAGCAGGAAGGGCCTCCAGCCCCCTCGACGCTCCGCTTCGGCCCCCCGCCGGACCGGCCTGCCCCCAGCAAGGAGGTCTCTCGAGCGCCTGCCCTCCGGGCGGCTGGCCCACAGGGGCTCCCATGCCAGAGTCAAAGTGGAGAGCGTGCCCCCCCCCGGGCGCCCCCTTCCCCCCAGCCGGCTAGCGCAACGCACACCCGTCCGCGCAGCCCAGGGCGCGTCCCTTCCGGCGAGATCTCGGGCAGAAGCGGGCCCACACCTCGCAGGACGCCCCGGACGGACGCCCAGGCCCTTTTCCCGGCACTGGACTTGCTCCCGTGGCCGCTTCTTTCCGAAAGGAGGGCGGCTGCGGTTCCTTTGGCGGGGGGAGCGGGAGCCGGCGAGCCCCCCGCCTGCTCCCCGCGGGCCCATCGTCCCCTCCCCTGGGAGGGGCGGGAGGGTCAAGCAGCCGTGTGTGGCTGTGAGAACGGACAGTGCCCGGGCGCCTGGAGGGCCGGGGAAGGGCTCCAAGAGGCCGGGGGGCTGGCAGAGGGACGGGCGGGCAGAGCGGGGGCTTCCGGGGACGGATCCGCCCCGCGGCCCCCCGTCCCGGCCCCTCCGGCCCCCCGGGCCGGCGGCAAAGAGGAGCGAGGCGGCTCGGCAAGGTCACGAGAAGTTTATTGTACAATATTTCACACTCGGCTTAACACGAGGTCCTGGGCGACCCCCGGCACAGGCGGTCATGCACCAAGTCCATGCAGATATGTGGGGCGGGGGCGGGGGCGGGGGGGCGAGGGAAGGCGAGGGGGGCCCCGGGGGCAGGGTGAGTGCCGTCAGCCCCGGCCGGGGGGCGCGGCCCGCAGCTCCCGGCCCTTGTGGGCCCCTTGGCACTGAGCCCCCACGCAGAAAACCCAGGAGGGCTGGGCTGGGCTGGGCTGGGCCGGGCCGGGGCCCCCGCCTTCACAGTACACGCCGGGCGCTCGGGAAGCAGGAGGGACGCCCTGCCCGGTGGCGGGGGGCAAGTGCACGGCCGGGGGAGAGGGGCCCCCCGGCACAGGGCGGCCAGGACCGCCCCGTCGAGCGAGGGGCCCCGAGGCGCAGGGACGCCCCTCGCCCGGCCCCACGAGGCCTGCGGGGCTGCGGGGAGGGGGCGGCGCGGGGAGCACCAGCCGGCCGGGGCAGTGGCGGGGAGGCCCGCCGGGGGGGGGGGGGTTTGGCCCACACAGCTGCGCAGGGGGCGGACACGCAACCGGCTCGGCATGCTATAAAAAATGAGGCACAGTTGGGGGGACGCGAGGCCAAGCGAGTGTCGCGAGTGCGGGACGGGGAAATGTGGCATCGATGCTGCGGGTGGCGCCCCCCCCCGGCAGGGATGGGGGGTCCTGGCAGGGCTGCGTCCCACGGGGCACGGGACCGGGGCCACGCCGCAGGGCTCGGCCCGGGCACTCCGGATGGGACCCGCCTTCGGCTCAAGCGAGTCTCTTCGGTGGCATGGGGGGAAATGCTGGTGGCAGGGGGGTCCCGGGGACCGTGGGAAGGGGCTGCGGAGGCAGCCCCGCCCAGTCCCCCCCACTTTGGACCCATCCCTGCCCCAAGGACACGCAGCGATCGGTCAAGGCACAGACTGCACGAGTGCGGACGGGGGGCCGGCGGGCGGGACGCGGCGGGGCGGGGGGAGAGCTCTCGGGGACGCGGGGCCGGCGCTCCCGGCCCTCGGAAGATATAAGGCACCCGAGCGAGCATGGCCCCCCCATCTCCGCCGAGGAGGGGGGAGCGCCCAGTGTCCGAGGCAGCCGGCGGAGTGCATAAACGGGTGCGGGGGCTCTTCGTCGGGCTCAGGCCCGGGCTCCGGTCGCTTTCTGGATCAGCGGGATCTGCACGGGAGAGACGGTGGCGGCGGGTGAGGGGCTGCACGGGGGGGGGGATTCCCGGCAGAGGGTCCCCAGAGCCGCCCCCCCGGGATGGCTGTGCGGCCGCTCGGGCTCAGCTCAGACCCACGGCGGCGGAGCTGCCCCGGGGCCCTGTCGGCCGCAGACGGCCTCGGGGGCTCGTCCCGGGACCACGAGCGCTGCCAGCCGGCCCGCAGGCGGAGCAACGGCACCCAAAGGCGCAGCCCCTCGGAAGAGCCACGGGGGGAGGGGCGGGGGGCAGCGGCCTCACCTTGGAAAGGTCGACCCCGGTGAGGGCGTGCACGGAGGCGGGGAGCTCGGCCAGCAGCCGGTTCACGTCCGTGGTCATGCGGTTGTTCTCCCCGCTGAGGATCACGATCTCATCCACCTTGGACAGCGGGGCGGCCACCTTGGCGGCGATCTGGGGCAGGGAGAGGCGCGTCAGCACCGGGCCGGGGGGAGCGCGGGCCGGGGGGCCCCCCGCCCCCCGCGGGCCTCACCTGGGGCAGGGCGTCCAGCACCAGCGCCGTCTTGGCGGCCTCCCCATACTGCTGGTAGGCCTCGGCCTTGAGCCGCATCCTCTCGGCCTCCGCCAGGCCGATGGCCTCGATGACCATGGCCTCGGCCTCGCCGATCCGGCGCAGCTTCTCCCCCTCGGCCCGGGCGATCAGCACCTGCTTCACCCTGCGGGAGGGAGGGAGGGAGGGAGGGCAGGCGCCGCGTGAGCCTCGCCGGGCCAGGCTGGAGGGGGAGCCGTGCCCCAGCCCCGGCCCCGGCCCCGGCCCCGGGGCCGGCCACTCACTTCTCTCCCTCGGCGACCTGCTGGATGCGGTGCGCCTCGGCCTCGGCCGGCAGCCGGATGGTGGCCGTGAGCTCCTTGTCCATGCGGACCACCTCCTTCTCCTCCACGTCGATCTGCTTCCGGCGCTGCACCACCTCGATCTCCACCTCCTCCTGCCGGATCTTCTGCTGCTCCTTGGCGCCCTGCAGCTCGTACGCCAGCTTGGCCTCCGCCGTCTGCCAGGGCGAGGGGAGCGGGGCACCCCGCTGGTCAGCGGCCCTCCTTGACCCCCTGCTGGCCGCCGGGGCAGCGCCCCACGGCGCGGCCGCCACCCCCGCCCGCCCATCAGGCCTCCCCCGCCGCCCCTCCGCCTCCCCTCACCACCACCCAGAGCCCCTCCTCAGCTCCGAGCTCCTCTGGGACGCACCCGCTCGCTCTTGCCCCTATTCCAGAGCCCCCCCCCCCGCACGCACGCACGCACACAGAGACCCCCTACCTTCACGTTGATCTCCTGGCTGAAGGCCGCTTTCTGCAACTCGAAGGCGCGCTTCGAGTCGGCCACCTTGGTGTCCGCCAGGAACTTCACGTCCAGCATCTCCCTCTTGCACTCGGCCTCCTGCCGGGGCAGACGGGGGACGGCTCAGCCCGGCCGAGGGGGCCTGGAGCCGCACGGCGGCCGAGTGTCCAGCGGCCCCCACCCCCCGGCGGCCCCACGTACCCGAATGCCGGCGTCCCGCTCCGCCTCCGCCACGCCGATGTCCGCGTCGCGCTGGACGACTGCCGTCTGCGTCTTCCCCAGCGAGCTCAGGTAGCTGACCTTGTCGTACACGTCCTGTGGAGGAGGCGGCGGCCATGGAGCCTGGGCCGGGGTGCCCCCCACCGCCCAGCATCCCACGGGAGGTCCCCCGGCAGGGCCCGACCGCAGGAGCGGCTGCCTGTGGGCCTCCGGGGGTTGTGGCCCACCGCTACCGCCTGCGGGGCGAGGGCCGGTGGCCGCTGCAGGCCAGGAGGGCCGGTGGGCGCAGGCCCAGCGATGACCCCCGGACCCCCCTCCCGTACCTTAATCGTGAAGCTGAGGATCTCGATGCCCATCCGGCCCACGTCGGGCGCGGCCACCTCCCGCACCAGCTTGGCAAACTGGTCTCTGTCCTGGTAGATCTGCTCGACGGTCAGCGTGCCTGCGGGAGGGAGCCGGAGGTGACCCCGCCGTCCCTGGGGCACGGCCGTCCCGCGTGGGCTCCGGCCGCGGCACAGTGGCCGTTTTGGACCTCCCCACAGGTGCTCGAGCGCCCCACGGGTCCCGTGAAGAAAGGTCTTCTGGGGCCTCCTGCTATTCAGGCTCCCAGCAGAGGGAGCTCTGAGTTTCTCTGCAGTCCAGAGGACTAGAAATGTGCTTCCCAATGCACAGACGTAGCTCAGTCCCACACACGAGGCGGAAGGCCCGGGCTCCGTGGCCACCGTCTCCAGCAGGCAGGGCAGGCAGCCCCCCGCCGGAGACTTACACAGCGCAGACCCACGGGCACGAGGGGGGCCGAGTTGGCCCCCTGCCCTCGGCCAGCATCCTCACAGGCGGTGTTCTGAGTGGAACGGCCTCTCCCCGCCCGGGGACCTGGGGCCCCGTGGGGAGGAGGCCGCCGCACGGACGCGGCACGCAGGCGCCCCCCACACACCTAAGATGGAGCGCAGGTGCCCCTCCAGCGTCTGCAGCACCACGTTCTTGATGTCCTGCACCGTCTTGCCCAGAAACTGTTCGCAGGCCACGGCCAGCAGCTCCTTCTCGGTCATTATCTTCACCTGCGGGCGAGAGCGCGGAGGGGCCCGTTGGCGAGCCGCCCGGCTTCCGCAGCTCCTGCCCGGGACGGGCTCGCCGGGGCCCCGCTGCCACCACCGGCCACGGCCGGGCGCTCACCCGCGCCCGAAACGCTGCCGGCCAGCTCCCCCCCCCGGGTGCACTGGGCAGTGTGGCCGGCCAGAGGAAGGTCCCGTTGGCCACGGCCTCCCCGACCTGGTGCCCTCGGCCGGCAGCGCCGGCCACCCTGACCCGCCTGGAGGGCACCACGCCGGGGCAGCTGCCGCCAACGGGCCCCTTTCTGCCGCCAGGCGGGCAGCTCCCGGGCCCAGGCATTCGCCCCCTGGGGCGCCTTCCATCCCGGCACGGCAAACCACGAAGCGGGGCTCTCGCAGGTGCCGCCTTGGGGGTGGGCCCAGGTACGTGTGAGCTTCCCCCCTCCCCGCGGCTTGCCACTGGAGGTGGCCAACTGGGCGGCTCTGGGGCGCGCCCAGCAGCCCCAGCTCCCCCCTGAGCAGCACCCAGGTGGCACCGGTGGCACGGAGCAGGGGTGCCCACACCCCGCCAACGGCGCCAAGCACCACGAGGGACGGGTCCGCCACAGGGGGGCGGGGAACCTGGTCCGCAGGCCCATGCCAGGCCCGCTCCTCCCTCCTGCCCCCTCCTTTAGGACGTTCCCCCTTTCTGGCGCCCACAATCTCATCTCTTGTCCGGCTCGGTGCAAGAAGGAATGCCCAGAGCGTGAACATGGCGTCGCCCGCAGCGCAGCAGGCGGCTTCGTGCCCCGGCCCCCTCCAAGGCGGCCACCAGCAGCTGTCCCGGCAGGGCTTCGTCATGAGGCGTGCAGGCAAGTGTTTCGGCTACTCCTCCTTCGGGAATGCAGCCGGACTCTCAAGACTGGTGCTTCCGGAGACCCGCTCATTTTTCCGAGGAAGGCTCCAGTCCCTCTGACGGCAGAACTGACTGCTGGGGTAACCCCCTCAGTGCTTCGCTGCCCCCATTCCAAGGGGGAGAACAGGGGCTGAGCTCTGGGGCTGCTCTGGCCCAGCCCGGGGAGCCAGCAGTGATTGAGGGCGATGCGAGTTGGAGGTCGGCACCCCGATGGCTGCAGGCATCTAGGGCAGCCCCGCCGGAAAAGTGTGCGGGCTGGGGAGCGGCGGTCAGCCCCCTGCGAGAAAGGGCACGCAGCTGAGCCGCTGCAGCTGCGAGGACCACCTGGCCGGCCTCTCCCGTCTCCTGGAAGCGCAGCAGGCCGGGTGCTGGGCCCGGGCAGCCGCTGGGCATGGCTTGGCCTCCCTTCTCAGCGGGCACCTCGTGCCCGGAGGCTGCTCAGCCCCCGCCTGCGACACGAGCCTCGCCTCTGGCGAGCCACAATCCTCTCCAGGCGAGCGGCAGCAGGGTGGGCGAGGCCAGACGCTGCTCTCCAGCCCGCCGGCAGGCTGCCCACGTCTCGTGGTCCATTTTGGGGGGATTTATCTGAAAGCCCGAGGTGCGGATTTGCTCCCCCGCGGGCCTACAAGGAAACATTGGCTTTGAGCCTCGCGAAACGCTTGGAAACCCCGAACGATACGAAAAACAAGCCTACAAAGATGGCGCTGGGCTGGACAGCTTGAGTCTGGGCTCGGGGAGCGGCAGGGGAAAGTCGGGGCAGCGTGAGTCCTCGGCTCGCCCGCCTTCTGCAGTCAGCGCCCGTGTGCTCCTCAGCAGCCAGGCTGCTTCACACTGGAACAGGCCCGGCCCGACCTCCGGCTGCGGCCAGAGAACGGCAGCTGGCGACCCCGGGCCCGATCCAGAGGAGGGCGGCCGGGCCGGCCCAGGGGCGCAGGGGCTCGCGGAGGACGTGGCGACAGCCGGAGCCACACGGCCCCTTCAAAGCAGCCCCCGGGAAAGGCAGACGTGCTGCGGCGCCCGTTTTGCGAGCGCCGGCGTCATCACGGCAAAACGGCGAGGGAGGCTTTCCGAACATCCGACGGCCAGGGTGAAGCCGGGACGAGGACCGGCCGGCACAGAACCTCGGCGGGCAGAGAGGCGGGGGCTCCCGGGCGGCCCGAGGGTGTCTCGGCTCCGGGCAGCAGCTGCGCCCCCTGCTGCACGGGTGGGAGAGCAACAGCCCAGTGGCAGGAAAGGGGAAGCGGCCCAGTTCCCTCCCGGCACGGGCAGGAGGTGCAGTGCGAGTTTCCTGGGAAAAGCGGCTTGCGGTGGCTCGGAGCGCCTCTCCCCGAGTCTTCCTGAGGCGAGGAGACAGCAAGAGGAAGCGTGAGAGGAGAGGCATGCATTCCTGAAAGGAGGAATGGAGTTCGTTCGGAGTTACCGTACCTGGGCCACACCTGTGACAGTTAAAGCTACCCCCTCCGCCGTCTCTACGTCCTCGCACCTGGGCTGTAACGTCATTATCTCTAGGGTAATCCTGCCAAAAAACGTAGAACAGCGGCACGTTTGCGGGTGGCCGGTAGCTCCCCCTCGGCTCCGAGGCACCTGCTGCGTCCTTCCCGGGCCATGCAGAGCCGGCGCCGGCCCGGGGCCACGGTGGCTGCCTCCCGCCCGAGGCGGGGCCACGGGGCTGCCGGAGGGGCCGGCAGGAAGCGCCAGGGCTCCTTCGCCTGGCGGCCTCCAGCAGAGGAGCTTGGGCTCGCGCGGCGGCTAGGACCCAGCACCGTGCCGGGAGCCCTCCTGCCCCACGGGCGGTAGGACAGCCCTGCCTGAGGCTCTCTGCACGTGCACGCTGCCACCCGAGGCTCTCCTGGGCGAGGGGCGCACTTTCGGAGTGGCCCGGCCGTCCCCTTCCTAGCAGTGACTGGGTCCCTCAGCCGGACCGCCCTTCCCCGACCGGGTGCCCCCCGGGGCCTGGATGGCGGCCCCTGTCAGCCCCACCCAGCCAGGCTGGTGCTCAGGAGTCCGGGGAGGCTGGCCGAAGCCGCCGGAGGGCACCCGCGCGGGAAGGCCGGGCTGGACGACGGTGCTGCGCTGGGCTGCGTGTCCGCCTGTCCCGGGGCTGGGCCAGCGGCCCTCAACCCGCTGTCCAACTGCGCGGGGGGCAACGAGCAGCGGGCCCTGCCAGCCCCCTCCCAGCTGGTGCTCGGGGGCTCTGCAGCGTCGGTCGGGAAGCTGCGCTTGCTCCCACGTTGCCGGAGCAACTCGCCTGCGGCGGAGATCTGACGCTAGGAACTCAGCCGCACGGAACGGCAGCATCCCAGCACTTCCAGCTTTCCAGACGGAGCCCTACAAGCTACCTCCGAACGGTTGCTCCAACAACCGCCCACGCGAGCTCTAAACCCAGCAGGGCCCTTTCTGGGGGGTGAATCCCGAAACCATGGAAGGAGTTTCCAAGGGAAGGCTGGGAATCTTCTGCCCCAAATGGGACTGTTCCCTCCAGGCTCTGGCTTCCACTGCGAGGCGTTTTGGACACCAGGCCCAGATGCCGACAGACAACCAGCGCTCAGCAATTCCGGAGCTGCGTCCAAAACATCCGGCGTGCTCTCCCCGCCCGGCACCGAGACTGCAGGCCGGGGAGCTGCCGGCCTGCTCCGGGGCCGGGTTCCTCGCCTATCCCAAGTGCCACAGAGCCGCCTTTCCTTGCAGAAGGAGCGCGCGGTGGTCCGGGCCGGCCCTCCGCTCAGCTGTCCTACGGCAGGGGGGCTGGGGCACCTTTCCTCCCTGCCCAGAGAAGGGGCCGCGTGGCCGTGCAGTGCTCGTGAAGCGGGCGGGTGCGGGCAGCGGGTGCCGGCCCCGTCCCCTCGGGGCCCGGGAGCCGGAGCAGCTCTGCATGGCCCGGGAACGCAGCAGCAGGTGGCGGGAGCCAGTGGCGGGGCGGGGAGGCAGAGGGAAGCGAGAGGTGCCGGAGCCCAGAGCGGCCCGAGAGACGCGGGCGAGCGCTAAGTCCGCTTGCTGCTGCCGCCGTCGCTGCGTGGGACAGAAGGAGAGACGAAGGCGGGTTAGGCACGAGACGGTCGAGGCGGGCGGATCATTACCTGTGCGACCCCCGTTACGTACAGTGGGACCCCCTCCGACGTCTCAATATTCTCACAGCGACAAAGGATGGTCATAACCTCCAAAGACAGTCTGAGCAGCGATAAACAAGGGTGGGACAGCAAACACACAAGGCGGTTACGAGAGAGCAAGAGATCCCACTCGCCAGGAGAAGAGACGGGACTTTGGGGGCGGGCGGGCGGGCGGGAGGAGAGGGGGCGCCCCGCTCGGAGGGAGAGGCCCCTGCGGGGACACCCCCCGTGGGGGCTTGGCAGAGGCCTGCTCCGTGGCAGCACTGGGCAGAGGGCACCTCTGTGGTCTGTACTGAAGGGGCAAGCGTCAAGGCTGCGGGCTGCTCACGCGTCTGGTGGGGCAGGACGATCATGGCGCTCTTTCTGGCTGTGGGAGCCGCCTGTTCTTTTTGAAATCGCCTCTGGGTGCGCACGCACGTCCGGCTTGAAGGCTCACGTGTAAGCACAGCCGCCAGGGCCTTGGCATTCTGTGCTTTATGGGCGGGGGGGGGATCCAGACCCAAGGTCCATGATCCCCCATGTTAGAAAAGGTGAGCGGTGTGCGAATTCACTGTGGCCACGGGGAGGAGAACGTGAGGCTCAGCCTCTTCTCCAGAGGCCGGTTTGATCAGGACCTGGCCCCTCCAGATGCTGGGCAACAGCTCCCGAGTCCCCAGCCAGCCAGGTTGGCTAGAGGATCCTGGGAGCTGCAGTCCAATCAGCCTGAGGGCCTCCAGTTGGTGAGGCCGGCCGACCGGTGCCCAACGGGGCGAAAGAGCTCACCTGTGCTGAGGCGGCCGGCCAGCTGGCCGGCCTTCTGGCCAAAGCTCCTCTCAACATGCTCGGGCTCCCGCTTAACAGCGGCACTTCCTTGGGGACCCCCAGTCCACCTGTACCGCCCCGTCTGCACTCGCCCCCTAAGTGGGCGCTGGCGGGTGGAGGCTGGAGGGGGGGGCCTTTTCAGCCGGCGCTCCCTGCCACCCGGATGCCCACCTGCTCACAGGGGGCTTGCCAGGCCCTCACGACCCGAGGCAAAGGGGGGCATTTTCCCAGGCTTCCCCTGGGGCAGAGGGGCCTGGCTTTTCCGAGCGTTGCTACACCGCGCATTTCAGGCAGGTGTTCAGTTCTCGCGCTGGCTGCTCATTTTTCAAAACGGTGTCCCTAAAATTTTGCATTCGGGCGCACAGGAGTGCTCAGTGCAGGGAGCTTTCGGCACCCTTGGAACTCAAGCGGGACATCTGCCCGGAGAAGGCCGGCCTCAGCGCCGCTGTTCTTGTCTGCATGCTGTGGTAATGCACCCTACGGGGCCTCCGGCTGGGCAGAGGGTTGCCCCCTGGAGACCGGGGGGGGGGGGGGGTGCGCGAGGCGTCTGCCCCGGTAACAGCAGTGCCGCCCGAGCTACAGGGCCAGAGTGCTCCTGAGCCCAACGCAGAGTGCTGGTCTAACCGTTCCTGCCTGGAACCAGTCGGGGCCGGGATGCTGAATGGGGTGGGCCGAGCCTCTCCCCCCGGCCAGCCTCTCATCCTGAGCTCCTCAGCAGGGGCCGTTCATGTCTGGCTGCAAGCGAAGCCGGGGAGGGTGAGAGAGAGAGAGGGCCTGCTCGGTGGTGGCTCCCGAACTCTGGAAGTGGCTTCCAGCAGGGGGTCCTCAAGCCCCTCCTTTACAGCCTCCCAAAAGACTCCGAAGGCCCGCTCCTTCCTGTAACACGCAGGCAGCAGGCCTCCTTGAGCGTACCAGTTCTGGAAATTCTGGATGAGCACTGGCTGATTTCTGAAGGCCGGACGGGTGTGCTTTGGTCCACCGGGTTGCCCGGAGGGGCTTCCACCCCTGAAAGGGCCCCAGAAGCAAGGACAGGTGCGGAGCAGCGGGAACGGCAGTCCTGGCCGGGGGGCGGGGGGGGGGAGGGGGCAGCTGACGAGGTGCCCTTTCAGCCCCAGAGAGGAACTCTTGAGGCGGCAGGCCCAGATGCCTCAACCTCAGCTCCCGCGCCTTCGGGTGGGAAGCCCCCCTTCCCCAGCCGCCGTCCCCTGCTCCTTCCGCAGCACCCCAGAGAATCTCGTCTTTCTCCTTTCCTGGTTAGTACACAGGGAAGCGGAGGCCCCTGCACGGACGAGTTAGGGGGAGCAGGGCATGCTGTGGCTTCTCCCCCCAACTCTGGCCCCCCAGGGGTTCATAAAGCACCTTGGGGCAGCAGCAGCAGCAGCAGCACCGGCACCATAGCGGAAGACGGTTAGTCAGAGGCCACACAGAAGACACACAGCAAAGGTGGAAAGAGGAGAGAGCAGGGCAGGAGGGGGAACGAGCAAGGAGCCCCCCCCAAAAAAAGATTTCTGCCAACGGAGTCGCCAGATGCCAGCACACCACTCAGAATCTCAGCTGCTCGGATGCAAACGCCAGAAGCTGACGGCCCCACCCCTCCCGGCACCCATGTGCCACAGCACCACCTGCTGGCCCCTGCAAGGGACGGCCGGGGAGCAGCCAAGAGCCCTTTGCCGGCTTCGGAGGGCACAAAGGAGTGTGCCCTGTTTGCTCTCGGAGGAGCCCTCCCTCCGCTGGCCGCCTCTCTGCACGAGTCACTGTCCCGAGAGCAGCGGGTCCCACAGAGAGGCGACGGGAAGCCATCCCACTCGGCCGCCCCCCTGCAGCTTGGCATGGGTCGAGGAGGAACTACCCAGCTGCCCTGGGGGGAGGGCGCTGCCCCCGCCCTGCGAGGGACCTGCAATTCCAAGCGCTGCTTCTGGCACCCAGCCTGCCGCATGCAGTCCCTCTGCTGCCAAAAGGGGGTCCCCCCACCCTACCCCACCCCACGGTGCAGACGCATGAACGGTGGCCGCCGTTCGCTTCGGCCCGCAGAAAGCCCCCTGGCAGGGAGGGGAGCACTTTCTCAGGACGGAAGCAGCCTCACCGCGGCTGCCGCTCTCAGCCGGAGAGGAAGGTGAACCTCGCTCGGACCCGCAAAAAGGGGTGCGGAGAGCTCCAGCCCGCCTCCCTGCCGTCGCTCGCTCCGGCTGCGTGTCCCCTTCCCAGGCTTCGGGAGCAGAAGGAAGCTCGGGGGGGGGGGGGGGGAGACAGCGGCAGGAGTGAGCGACCCCAGGGGAGCGAGCGACCCCAGGGGGGCGAGCCCTGGGGCAGGGGGGCGCCAGCACGCCGACAGCCGTGCTCGCGCCACCGGGGGAAGACGTGCGCGGCGCCCGCTGCTTACCTCTGCGTGTCCGAGATGCACCACCAGGCCCAGGCCCAGCCTCCGAAAATGTACTGCTTCTCGTCCGAGCCGCAGCAACCGCCTGCAGGGAAGGGAGCACAAGCCCCGCTCGCTCATGGCCTTTCTGAAAGCAAGCTGCCGCCCGCCCCTTTGTGCAAGAGCCCCCCGGGGCGGACCCAGGCATCAGGAATGCGGCCAAAGGACCCGCCACCGGCCCGGGGCACCAAACTGCCACCGCTCCGCTGTCGTCTCCCCCGTGCACCCCTCTTCTTCCTTCCCCGGCTGCGGCTGCCTCCCTGGGGGTCTTCTCTTCTAGTTTGTAGGGGGGGGGGCTCTCCTCTTAGGCTCCGTAAGCACCACAAAAACCAACCTGGGCACCTGCAAGAAAAGCCCACAGGGCAACTGCCCCCCCACCCCTCCTGGTGAGAAGCACACCTGTCCTGAGTTAAAACCCGGGGGAAATATGAAAATGTGCACTGTGCTGGCAGGGAATGATGGGAACTGTGGTCTGGCACCTCAGGAAGGCATCAGGGGTGGTGGAGGCTTGCAGGGGAAGGGCTAGGAGTGCCCCCCCCCCAGCAAAGTTACAGTACAGCCAACCGAATAAATTCACAGCCACCAAAAATGGAACCGAACAGTATTGCCCAGAATTATTATTATGAGGCTAAATCTATACCCTTCCTTTCTTCTTCTCACAAGGAGCCCAACGTGGCTTATACAGTTGCCCCCTCCATTTGATCCTCACAACAGCAACCCTGCAAGGTAGGCTGGGCTGAGAGACACAGAATCCTAGGTGAGTGGAGCCGGAGGGGGCCAGAGGGCCTCTGGGGCCGCCCCCCTGCGCGGTGAGGGGCTCTGTGCCAAACCAGCTCTTCCCGTGGCTGGGCCCAAGCCACCGAGCGGGCTCCCCGGCCAAATGCACATCGAGGCCTCTGCAGTCCCGGGCCAGCGGCCTTGGCTGGAACCCTGCGTGGGTTCGGCACAGCCTGTACCTGGCCCTCGGCCACCGTGCCCCTCGGCACGCTCGCCGCTTGGCCACCGCGAGTCGCCCCCCTTCCCTCAACACCTTCGCCCGCTTGCAGCATGTTCGCCGCTCCATCTGGGGGCTCAGGCCTGCGAGGCCTCCCGGCGTGCAAGCTGCCCACACCGGAGCAAAGGACCTCTGGTCCGGCGGCCCCCGAGGGCACAAGACCCTTCTGGGGGCCAGCAGGCGCTCCTGGCGGCCAGACCAAACACGGCGAGGCTCGAGAGCAGCCCGCGAGCAAGCTCTCTGTGCTGGGGGAAAGGCACCGACCCCGAGGGCTGTCCAGAGGGGCAGGGAGGCGCTTCCTCCGGCGACGGGCAGGGTCCGAGCTCCGCAACGCCGCCGCACCAAGCCAGGCCACGTTCCGCGGCAAGGCCCGCACATGGCCAGTTGCCAGCCCGGCCCCCCTGCCCCGGCCCCCCCAGCTTCTCTCAATTTTTTGCATGGCTCTCTCAGCAGCGGAAAGAAAAGCTAGGGGCCCTTTCTTTTCAAGCAGGCGCCCCAGAGGTCCTCGGAGGGACGGCTTCTGCGCCGGACACGGAACGACACCCACCCACACGCAAGGTGGCTGCAGAAGTGAACCTGGCCACCAGCTCCACCTGGAGTGGGGGCGGGGGGCACCGTGAAACCCCCGGCAGCTCATGTCGCTGGACTCAGCTCCCTTTGACAGGCAGGAAGCGGCCGTCCCGCTGTGTGATGCGACACTCTTCCGGGCTGAGGGCAGCTTCCGGCTGGAGGTGTGAGGCGGAGGGAAGCCTCAGCCCTTGGCTCCTGCGCTCCATCTGGAGCCAAAGCGCGCAGTGTGTGTGTGGGGGGGGGGCAGGGAGCCCCCCCCACATGGGATCGGTGCCTGGCCCTTTTCCCACTTGCAGCCCTGCCTTCCTCGGAGAAGGCGATTACTAGAGCAGAGCAACAAGGCACAGAGTGAAAACAAACACCCATCCCTCTCTCTCTCTCGCTGGCGGTTTAATTCCTTCCCGGCACAGCAGGGGAGAGGGAGGCATTATCAGGCACTGGAAAACACACAGGCACTGTCCTTTCGCCTTCGCCGCCTCTCTCTGCCCGTCCCTCTGCTAAGCTGGCTGCGCCTTCGGTCATGTTTATCCAGTGAGTCACGCTGATTTCCGAGCTCTGTGGCTCAGGCGAGTGTTTACGGTTTGGGCTGGCACCTCTGCCCGGGGGCCCTTTCCGCACAAGACCTCAGTCGGCATGAAGCGCAGGGGGGAGGCTGATGGACGCTCGGGAAAGCGGTCCCTCGGCGAGGTGCGCTCCATCGACTTGGGAAGCCACCTGCCCGAGAGCACCTGCGGGAGCTGGGGGGGCACGCGGCCCCCCGCTGCGGCAACAGGAGCCGCCCGCCTCCGGGCGCCAGAGGCTCAGGGCCTCCCCGCGCACCTCGCAGGGGGGCCGGGAACGTCCCCGCGACCTCGCGGTCCCCTCGCTGCGCAGCTGCCACAGGGAAGCGGCCCTCTCCCTTGTCCAGCCCGGCCACCCGGCCACCCAGGGCAGGCCCCCCGGCCAGGACTTGGTTCCAGTGGCCCTCGCTGCAAACCCGAATTCGGGCTGATCCGTCAGTTTCCACCTCAAACAGGTGGACGCCTCGAGCCAGGAAGCTTTGAGAGGCGGGGGGGGTGCGGGGGGGGGGAAGGGCCGGGGCTGCAGCGTTTAGAGGAGGGGAAGGAGGCCCCTGCTAGCTTTGGATCCGGATTGGTGCCCCCTGCAAGAAATGGCACTCGCGGCAGCGACGGCGCCGTAAAAGGGGCGGCAAAGCGTCTCCCGGAGCAAGCGCACTCAAGCGGCTCAGAAGCCCCCCCCCCCCCGCGACTGCTCTGCCTCCACGTCCCGCTGCGCAGGATGGTGGAGGCTGGGGAGGCGGCGCCGGCACGCTTGGGCAGTGCTGCCCACTGCTCACACACGGGGGCTTCTCCGCCACCGCTCCCCCCGCCCCGGGGCACAGGCCAAGCACCCGGCTGTCTTGCCTGCTTGCTCCAGGTCCGTGAAGAATGTGCACCTTTTCGGCCTCGGCTCTTCCTCAACCCGGCACGCGTCTGACCACCACTCCCACTATCCCCAGCCAGCGGCTGCGCTTCCTGCGGAAGGATCCCTCCGGACAGCACTGCTAACTCCTAGAGGAAGAGGCTGCCGGGCTGACCCGCTGGGAGCTCGCAGCAACGGCCCCTCACCCAAGCCAGCTCTCAGCCTGGGGACCGAGCCCCGAGCGAGACGCGCTTGGCCTGGGCAGAGGGCCCTCTCTGGACCCCAGGCCTCCTCCCTCCTGGGGGGCCCGGCGCCCGTGGACATTCCAAGGGAGAGCCGGGCTCAGATTAATGAGGCCGGGCCTCCCAAGTCTCGGGCCCTGCAACGCGCTGGAACACACCCCAGACTCGCCGAGTGGCGGACGTGTCCCAGCTCTGCAGGGCTGGAACTGCTCCGTGGTCCAAAGAACGCCAAAAACGCGGCGCAGAAGTGCCAGCTGCCTAGCCCGTGCCTCTCCCCACACTATCTGGGGCAGAGCCCGGCCTGCCAGCCCCATGTGGCCGTCGGCTGGGTGTCTCCCCCGACTGCCCAGGCTACGGAGGCGATCGCCTGAGAAGCCGCAAGGGGCGTGACTCGGGGGACCCCGAGAAACCAAGTGCCTGCAGGGGAAGCCGGAAGGGCGCACGCCGGGGAACCGCGGGAGGGCCTGCGCGGGCCACACACATGACGCAGCGCCCTGCCCTTCAGAACCCGAGGCGTGCAAACGCACCGGCACACCTGCCCGAGCGAAAGCCAGACGGGACTGGGGCTTTGGGGACCCCGTGCGACCAACGCCTGCCGGCTCATCCTGCCACACACCCCGAGCGGCCATGCAAGGCTCGGCAGGAAGCGCCAAGGGCGTGCCCGCGTCGGCCAGGAGCGGCAACGGCCTGCAAGCGTGCGGTTTGCTGCGCTCTCCCAGGGACAAGCAGACTGTTGCTGCAACCGTGCGCCAGGGAACGAGGAAGCTGCCCGACGCCAAGCCTGGGGCACGCGGCTTTGCTCCCGTGACAGCCCGTTCCCCCTGGAAGTGGCTGGAGGGCCTCTGGGGAGAGGAGGCCTTCCCACTCACGGCACTCGGCGCCGGGGAACGGAGCTGGACGCTCTGTGCGCAAGGAGGCAGAGAGCAGGGTGGGGCGGCGCTCCGTATCGCGGGGTACTGGGATCCGATCCAGATTTTTCTCACGGAAAGCAGCTGCAGCCGGGTGCGAGTGTGAATGCAAGCAGGGGAGCCCCAGGCGGCTCTGCCTCGGGGAGGGGGCCGGGAATAGCATGCCCTGACCAGCAGGGCCACTGGGAGGAGGGTCTCCCCCAGCTCGGGGACGCCCCGGCCTCCGAGGTCAACATGCCACTCCATGTGCAGGGAATGGAGGAGGAGGAGGCAGCAAAGGGCCGCTCGCTTTCGGGGGGAGAGGGGTGCAGCTCGGCGGCAGGGCTGTGCTTCGCATGCACAAGGTCCCTGCCTACCTTCCCGGCGCCTCCAGTGAAAACGTCCCCATCCCACAGGGCCACAGGTGGGCCCTCTCCACCCAGGACCCCGGAGAGCCCCTGTGCACCAGGGGCAGCCAACGAGTGGGCCAACGGGGGGACCCTCCGAGGCCGTGCGACCCCCCGGCCGGTCCACCACTTGGAGGGCGAAGGAGCCTCCGACCCGTGCAGCAGGGGCGCCCCGCACAGCCGCGCGCCTGGGAAGGAGCCACGCGGCGTGCGAGGCGAGAGGGGGCCATCTGCCTGTGGGCGAGGCGTGTCCGCCACCGCCCTCCCACCCCCCGCCCCGCTGCCCGGCCCCGGAGCCTCATCCAAAGCACAGCTCTGCGGCCTCTGCTCGTAATTACGTCTTTTATTTTCGCCACCGCTCAAGGCACCTGCCACACCAGAGGCAGGAGGGAGTGGCGCTCACGCAGCACCGCTGCTTTCTCCTCCGGGCACTGCAGAAGCCTGGCTGCCGTCAGGGAGAGCAAGCAGCAGGGAAGCGAGAACCGGCCCCAGGGGAAACCTCACAGGCACACAGGCTGCCTGCCGAACCGGGCTTCTCCCGCCGGGCCCACGGTAGCCCACACCACCCGCACCGCCGCGCCTTTTCAGCACCTTTGCCTCGAAAGTGATCTTGCTCAAGCTTGGATGCGTGGCTGCGATTCCTCCTTAGCGGTGGAGATAAGAGCACTCCGAACAGGGCCAGAGGCACCATCTCCCGATAATTCTGTGCTAACCCTTGCCATTACAAAAAAAAGGATTTCAGGCTAGCTGTGCAGCAGGTTGCCTGCCCCAGGTCAGGAAGGAAGGAAGGAAGGAAGGAAGGAAGGAAGGAAGGAAGGAAGGAAGGAAGGCGGGCATCCTCCGCAGGGGAAGAGCAACAATTCTGCTACTTCACACCTAGAGTTGCTGCCTAGGTTAAGAAAAGCAAGGTGAACATTGCCTTGTTATTTGGGGTGTTTTAAAGCCCTGCCGCGGACCATTCCCCACCACAAGCCCACTGAGGGTCACCGTGGGCCATGAGGTCAATGGCATCATCCTCTGAAGCCTTTTAAGGCACAGGTCTGGGACTCCAGTTCCCAGGGTCCCCCACCACTTGTTGTTCTGGCTAGGGCTGATGGGAACTTCAGGCTGGAAACAGATCCAGAGGCTACAGACAAATCTAGAGTTCTTAGGCACTCTATCAGATTTTTAAAAAGAGGACTATATAAGCACAGTATCTGAATTATGCAGGGGTTGATAATGAGATAAACCGCTTTCCCCCAACCGAATGCCTCACAAAGCACCGGAATAAAGCTGGACAGACCATGCGGACCAGGAATGCTGGGAGCTGTAATCTCAAACATTTGCAGAACACCCTGCTCGGGGGGGCTGTCACGTCTTTGGTGCACGCGTGTGTGCATGCCCACATCCCGACAGCTGTTTAGCTGATATGGGACTATATTAACCCTACCAGTAATAAAATATTACTATCAGCTTCCATGACCATAAACCTGAGTTGGTAATCATGCAATGGAGAGAAACGCACGTGCGATACGATACTGGATCTAAATATAATAGAAGGACATACACACAAATATTTTTAAAGCCCATATAGCGACAGTGGGTGCCTAGACTTCACCTCTGTAAGAAAAGCTTCACATAAACATTTGGAATTTTACTACACAGACAGACTAGGCACTATAGAATTTGCACACACACAGTTAGAAAGAAGTTCACAGGTGGACGGGATCTTTGTCCTTTCCAATCCATAAAGATGATCCAGGCATTCCAGTGTATGCATCTCTGTAAGCATGCACCCTAAATAAATATGTGCACAAAGACACACTCACCGTGGCACAATCCTACTCATTCAGAGAATTAATTCGGCCCATTCTTTTCCAGGTGTCCCCTCTGCATACAAGCAACGCTGGGACACAGGCCCTCTCTCTCCCCGCACACATGAGAAGTACATCTGGAGATATGCGTGTCTAGAGTGCCGTCAGGGTCGGGCTGACAGCTTGTGCCGTCCCCAGACGGTGCGCCCTCCACCTCTCCATCCCGCGGGTAAAAATGCCCATCTGGGCGCAGCGCGGGGCACGGGGTGTGAAGTGGGGCAGAAAAGGGCCCTGGTTTTCGGGGATGGCACGAGCAGGGCCCCACCGTCGCCCAGGAAAAATGGGCTGGATGCAGGAAGCGGGAAGTCGAGGGATAATTTCTGCCGAAAAGTGAGCAGGACGGGGTCCTTCGGCGGCCCACGCTGCGCACCGGGGTGGCGGGCTGGGGCTCGGGGGAGCGGGTTCGGGCGCCCGCTCAGCCTCCAGGCCACCCGGGGGGCTTCCGGCCCGGCCCGCAGGGCGGCTGTGGCGCGAGGAGGAGGAGGAGGAGGAGGAGGCGGCCGCGTCGGGCTCCCCGGAAAAGGAAAGCGGCGGGGCGACGGGAGGCGAGCGGACGCGGCGGGCCGGACCGGGCGGCCCGCAGCAGACACGCGCACGCGGGCACGTCTGCAGCGCCCCGGAGCGGCACGCAGGAGAGGGATCCGCCCCCGGCGACGGGCGGCCGGCGTGCACGGGCGGCCCGGGACCGGGGCGAGGCTGGCTCGGGTGCGCCGCCGCCGCCGCCGCCTCACCTGACACGACGAGCGCCTCGTTGGGCCCCACCGTGTGGCAGTTGCCCATGGCTGCGGCTCCGGCTCCGGCTGCGGCTCGGCGCGCGTCGCCTCCCGCCCGGCCGCGCTCGCGCCCTCGGACCCGGACCGTGGCCGCCGCTACTCGCTCGCTCGCTCGCCCGCCTGTCCCGCCCGCCCGGCCGCGCCCGGCGCCGCCCACAGGAAGTGCGTCACAGC